CTTTGCCTTACAGGCCATCCAGATCCGGCACTCAGGGGGAGTCTCAGGCCCCCTCTGACGCGAATGAATGCAGACCCGTGTGGCGTGCCTAAAAACGCGGTAGGTACTGGTGGTTTAACTGCCAATCTCCTCTTCCCTTTGAAACCTGGTTAGGCTGGAAAGGACTCCTGCTTGCAACCGACAACCAACAGGAAGAGCTTTATCGTTGTATACAGATTTCAAACTGTCAGAGGGAGGCCGACTGCAAACAGAGAAAAAAAGAGACGCGAAGAAGAATAAAGGTGGCCTCCGCGCGCAATCAAAGCCTTCTATCCGGAGGTATTGCCTGCACAGCTGACAGCAATATAGCCACGGGCTGTCTGCGGCCGCTGAAAGAGATGGCTCCCACACATATAACAGTAAATAATAATAAAAAAAGAAAGAGGAAACAATTTTACAGATATCAAAACAGAAAAGGAAAAAGATGTGTACTTATGCCGATGATAACCCGCTGCGTGTGTTAAGCTGGACTGCTGGAAARAAAAAGGAGCACGCTTGTGCCGAAAAAAAAAAAAAAAAAAAAAGGAAAAAGACAAAAAGACGACTTGCGATCTGAGCATTAGTTACAAACGTACAATTGAACCGGCTATTCAGTTCCCACTTCTTCTACGGGATCTCCTCTCCACAACTCGCATCCTCACCATGCTCATCCACCCTGACTACACTCTGACTATAGTGTCATCCTCGCCGACTATACTCTGACTATAGTGATGAAGTCTTCTTTCGGCTGTCTGACCAGGCACCAAATCTCCAGCAACGAAGCTCGGCTATGGAGGTTGGCCCATGTCACCTCCAGTCCTCGAGTGCAAACACTGCCTCACTGTTAGCAGTGACAACAGGTAACCCAAGGTAAGCTTCCTTAGCTCTCTCTCTCTGTCTCTCTCCTCACAAGTCCTGGTCACTGTCTTCCTCGCTCTTCCTCTACTCTTCAGCTATGGCACTTGGCGACCTACTATAGCTATGGCTACTGTCTCGGTATCCTCTCCTGGCTGACACAGTCTTCTTCTTCCCTTGCATCAGCCTTCTCCTCCAGTGCGAAGTGGAGCAGTGCTCCAGCATCCAGCAACATGAATAGTACATAGTACATAGCAGCACAGCCACAGTGAATAGGACATAGTACAGAGAGCATAGTATAGTACATCGCAGCACATAGTACATAGCAGCACAGCCACAGTGAATAGGACATAGTACAGAGAGCATAGTATAGTACATCGCAGCACACGCCAGAATGAGTACATAGTGCATAGTACATAGTACACAGCAGCACAAGCCAGAATGAATAGAGCATAGTACATGGGACATAGGACATATAGTGCATAGTACATAGTACATAGCAGCACAAGCCAGAATGAATAGGGCATAGTACATGGGACATAGGACATAGTATAAAGTAGATTGTACATAGTCGAGAGCACACCACTTGGGCAAAAAAAAAGACCATAATGTCTGGCATGTGCTCAGTAATACAAATTTGGCACTTACATAGCAGGCGCAACACACAGCACCACCATACCGCATACTAACTACACAATCAATAGCACACCATAGCAGTCCATATAGCACACCATACCACCACATAGCACATACTGACCACACAGCACACCATAGCACATTATAGCAGTCTGCAGCGTCCATGCTAATGACAATTCACAACCACATAGCACGACATAGCATGGAGCTCCTGAACAGCTCATAGTCCGCAGTGTGACAGACGACAGTAAAAAATCTTTCTGAAGCAGAAGGCCCACTCTAGTGAAACTTACAGAAGAAACACCACCTCCTACTACTACTCCTTCCACCACCACAATCCGTCCTCTCTCTCTCTCTCTCTCTCTCTCTCTCTCTCTCTCTCTCTCTCTCTCTCTCTCTCTCTCTCTCTCTCNTCTCTCTCTCTCTCTCTCTCTCTCTCTCTCTCTCTCTCTCTCTCTCTCTCTCTCTCTCTCTCTCTCTCTCTCAGTGTGTGTGTGTGTGTGTGTGTACAAGGGTCAGCAACAACCCAGAACTGGCAGTATCCCCCCCTGTGAGCTACAACAAACACTACTGAGGGAAATTGCTTGGATTTGTGCAGCCACCGTAAGAACGCCGGAGAACCAGATGAGCACCGGAGAACCAGATGAAGGCACTTAGAAGAAGGGCCGCAGCCTACTCATGGGCGGGCAACCCTGCGAAGCAGAATTTCATCACCAAGGTTTCGTGGAAATTTGTAATCCAAGCCAAAGGCGCCGTGGGATTGGGGATCCTGGACCCGGAAAGCTATAGACCAAAGCTCTTCAGACCAAATGGATACCCTGTTTACCTGCCGGAACCTGCCTTGGACTTCCCTGGCTTTGCACAGAATCAGGCAGCTGCCCGCCATTCACATGCCCCTTACTATGTGGGGCCTCCTCTGCATCATATCGAAATCCTGGGCTGGAAGAAAGGGAGTTAGCAATGAATCAGGACCAAGAACAGGAGCAGCAACGCTCGTCTGCGAGCTGCAAGTATTGGGCACGCGACCACAAAAGAGGCGCTCAGACAGCCCCTCTTCTGCAACCAATGGATTCAGGATAGAGCCCCAAAGCCCTGGACACTGACGGCTCACGACGGAAAATGGGCCACGGCGTTTGGCAGGTTATATACATTTGGCACGAGGCACACAAGCGATGGAAAATACACACAGAACTGTGCGAGGTGCTGAGAGGCTGCCACAACCTCCAGCAGAACCTGAACGAGCGGCTCCTCTCTATCCCCCCACAATGGCAAATCTGCTCACAAGGGGAGTCAAATGGACAGCAGGGGAATGGGCAAAGGGGGACTGGGAAGACCCCCCCCCGCCTCGGTGGCCGTGTCCTTCATTAACAGAATGGGGTCCCGGGGAGAGTGGGCACTGATGGGAGTCCATGAAATCGAGCAGGCCAGTCAGACGGACGGTCAGCAGGGTGAACAAGTGCGGTCGAACGCAGCTTGCAGCAAAGATAGACCGGCTTAGAAAGGTGAGAGTCCTGGAGGACAACGAATACAGGGTCCTCGAACCAACGACACTGACCCCCGACCTCGAGATTGATCCAGTAGAATTGGCCTGCAAGCTCTCAACTTCGGTGAGGGGGATTGAGAGACGTGTCGGTCTCCTGGTCTACTCTACCAAGCCGGGCTATCCGAGACGGAGATCCGAGATCGGCGAGCATGCCAAAGTACCCTCGCCTTGCCCTGGGAGAAGAGCCTACTGGGGACCCTAAGATGGCTAGCCAAGATACCCTGGGGCGCGGTGCTGGCGATTTGCAACACGAGAGTCAGGAGCATGCAATGGCTCATCACCTACCAGGCGCTGCCGGCCAGCAAAGTGTTTAAGTAACCGCAGGACACAAGCCAACAGGCGCCCTTTGGACGAGTGCTCTGTGATCTGCAGTAGGGGAGAGCTTGAGGACATATTCCACTGCCTACCGGGGTGCTCAAAGGCCCAGCAACTGTGGAGACACACCCCGGAACTGTGGAACAGATCCTCGGGCAAGGAGCTAACTGACGATACCTTCACCCTCCTCACTCGCCGCACACAACCTACGGGCCTGGAAAAATGGGTTGCAAATTCTTTACAGCAGACTTCACCCTCTTACTCTGTGGGCAATATGGAAAAGGAGGCGCAAAGAAACTATAGACCTGCAGCAGGTTCCCCCAGAGAAGGCCTGGGAAGAACTCAAGCAGACGCTTGATGCTAAGAACCAAAACGACTGGAACAACGTCAGATCAGACAGGAAACAGATCAGACAGGAATTGGAAAAGAGACAGGAGCTCGGGGACAAATTTTGGAAAGACACGCTGGGGAACGAGAAGCTTGGGACTCTGAACGGAGGCTTGATGAGATGCGTCTGGACTCTGGAACTCTCGCCTCAGGGAGGAGGAGATGCGGGTCTAGCAGATGTCGACCCCCCCGGGGCTCCCGGGGGACCACAGCTCTGTAGTGTGGGACCGACATTCGTGGACTTCACCGCACCTAGGGTCTAGGGTTTTACCAGTCCAAGGCAGGATGCAGGGCGCCCGCTCCGCTGAACCAAGTGGAATGAGGGAGGGCTACACTTGAGGGGGCTACATGGCTGAGGCTAGCTTAGGCAGGGGCGACGGGTGGTATATCCTTCCCGTAGGAAACCAATCAATGCCATCCACTTGGGCCTTCCAGCCATAATGGGGACGAGCAATGGGTGAGTGAATATTGCATTCTTTGGACTTGCCGGTGGAAAAGGAACCAGACTGATGCTCCGCGGAATGGATATCGAGCCAGGCTGCCAGAGCCATAAGGTTCCGTTCCCCCCACCCTCCCCCCAAAAAAGGAAAAAATCTATTGCTAACTAAATTCACATTGCACAGACATGCAGATCTGACGACTCTGCACGTTTACCTGGGTGCACCCACGAGCATGCGTTGTTATTCACTTGGAAGGTTAACACACCTCCAATGAAAAAGGGCAACAGTGACAAAGACTGTTCTGAAGAGCTTTCACGAACTCACCAGGCATGCGTGCACAAGGAAGGGGGGGGGGGGGGGGGCAATAACACAGGCCCCCAGCCACATATAACCATGGGACCTTCTGCACAACGGTAGAAGCATGGCTGGAGAGGAGGGTGAGGCCCACACTCTCTCCTCCAGTAATGAGAGGGGGGTAAAACACACACACACACACACACACACACACACACACACACATACACACACATGTTGAACTGGCGATGCCGCGGTAGCCACGTGCTTTGCCAGGTGCTTCTGCGGAGAAAGGGGGGTAAAAAATACAGGCCTGAAAGAGGTGGAGGTCTGAAGCACAAGGTGTAACCTATCATGTGTTCCGAAAGCGGCACCCCAGTGTCCCAACAGCACAGCCCCAGTGTTGGGACACAGACTTTGTGCATCTATCCACAGATGCTGAACGGGAGCAGGCAACAACACAGAAATTGCTTCTATCCTTTATTCTTTTTGGAGGCATTTTATACTGGATTCCTTTTTCTTTTTATGGATCAGATATTAAACTGATCAGAACAGATACTACACTTGATCTTCGACAAAAGGTCGAGAAAGCGATGAATCTATTTGCTTGGATTATCAAAACAAAACAGGAAATACGACAATCTATTTGCTAACTGAATCCAACCCCATGCTCTCTCTCTCTCTCTCTCTCTCTCTCTCTCTCTCTCTCTCTCTCTCTCTCTCTNCTCTCTCTCTCTCTCTCTCTCTCTCTCTCTCTCTCTCTCTCTCTCTCTCTCTCTCTCTCTCTCTCTCTCTCTCTCTCTCTTTCTCTCGCTCTCTCTCTCTAGCGCGCATTCCCAATCTGCTACAACTTGAGACCAGCTTAAGCTTGTAGAGTGGACCTGGTCAGCCTAAAACCCGCCAGTTCCCCGTAGAAGCCAGCGATGAATCCCAGGAATTGTGAATTTGGTGAAAAGAACTTGGCCATGATAGCGGATTCCAACGGTCTCTGGACATCATGCAGAAATATGTGTACGACGTCGAGCTTCTTCTCCATCAGGCAACGCTTTGCCATGCTGAGTGACCAGTACGAAGCCTCCATTCGACCGGGGTGCTCGTTCAGGAAACCTGGAGGGCCATCTGCGGAAATCGAACACAGCAAAAAATAAATAAAAAATAAAAATAATATGGGAAATGGAACACAGCACAGTGAAAGAATGTCATTTTTTGTCGATGAAGTACAAAAAGGGTGAAAAGGGGCGGGCTTAAGTGGGATTGTGCCTTATGCAAGGAAAATGAGCAACAGCAAAATGACAGGATTGCAGATTGCAAAATCACATTGAAAGCCAGATAGTTGAAAGCTGTCCAGAAAAGCAGAAATGCACTGATATTACACCGAAGGAGAACCAAAACAACGAAATCAATTGTCAATGAAAGCATCATCTCGCCACCACCAACAATGCAATTGAAGCTCTTCCTCCCAATGGCGCTCAGCACCCAGACTACTATCCTACCGCTACGCTCTAGCTAAGAAATGACAAGCAACCCGTTGACATCAGCAGCAGCAACCAAAGTACGTGCAGATGTCGACCATGCAGACATCCGCCAAGACCAGGTACGTGCCCTCACATCATATCCCTCACCTCTCTCTCTCTCTCTCTCTCTCTCTCTCTCTCTCTCTCTCTCTCTCTCTCTCTCTCACCCTTGTTGTCTTCTTCACCCACGTCCCTTCCCTATCCAAGGACCACCGCTGAACCCTGCTGACCTTCTTCAAAGCCAAGCCCGGTTATGTGGGCTGGCTATGACGCTGCCTTTCTGCAGCGCCCTTCTCCTCCAGACGGCCGCACACGCCCAAGCACCTGCGCTAGTGCACAGTCAGCAGCCGCGAGCGCTTGCTCCAGCAGCGCTGCCGCACACACTACCAAGTGCCTGAATGTCCTGCCCGATGCCTTCCCCTTTCCTAAACAGAAAGCGGGCAGGCTCACTTCCTGCCTGGCCTGGGGTGCACGCGTTTCCAGTAGCTTCTGATTGGGCCAAAGTGTCTGCGCCCAGACCCATTCAGACAGTGGCCTGGGACCGAATTGGTTGAGCATGCCCAACCACCCAGGCGTAAACGTGTGGACACTGCTGGAAGAGCCTAGAAGGCTCAGAAATATTTCTGATTCTCATGAGCAAGGCGGATGTAACCAACTGGCCCGTGGGAACTGTCTGGCACCCACCAAGACTGCGCAAAATTGTGAGATTCAGTGGCCCGCCGTCACTTAGGGCGGGCACATGTTTGCTGCAGGGGCCTTATGCAGGTATGCCGAGAGGTAAAATCCTCCCACTCCCTCCTCCTTTACTTCAACAGTCCTCTGAGAAGTTCTTAAACCGCAATCTTCTTCCCTTTCAATCTTCTTTCATATCCTGCAATCACTTGTGGTGCAGTCTTCATCAATTCTTCTCTAGTGAACCATCGGTCTTCTTTAGGATCGAGATGCTGCCTGAACCTCACTCTGTACTGCATCTGCGGTTTAGGAGGATGTCCCCTTCCCGGAGGCTTGGGCACAGACAGAAGCTTGTGCTCAACGTGTCCATCCATGGTTGGGGGCAGCATAGATCTCCTGGAGGGAAACCCGTCAGTCGTGGAAAAAGGAGCAAGTTAGGAGGCATGAAATACAGGGTGTGTGCGTAAACGACCAGGGGTTCGAATAACATAAGATGGCCCGTCCGGTGCATCCCCAACTATGTCTAAAACTTCCCAAGGCCCAAAGTACTGCGGCATGAGTTTCCTAGAAATACCCAGTTCCTGTCCCAGCTCAGATAACTTAACCCAGCCTCTTTTCCCTACTTGAAATGCAGATGGCCGTCCGTGCCTGTTCTCAGATGCTACCATAGCGTCCTGAGCTTTCCTAATCTGTTCACCAGCCTGCTGCAGCATCTGGTCATACTTGACAGCGAATTCGACTCTGCCAGGTGCTGCTGTGGGCTGGTCCTCAGGCAGCAGAAAGTCAAGAGCAGATCTGGGCTTCCAACCAAGATGCAGCTGGTTGGGAGTCATGCCGGTAGTGCTGTGTACAGCATTATTATACAGGCTGGCGATGAGAGACAACTTCTCATCCCAGTCATCCTCGGCTTGATGTAATGCCGGATTAAGTGCTGCACTACCCAGTTCATTTGCTCTGCTTGGCCATTTGACTCAGGGTGATTCCCTGATGCCATCTGCAGTTGGGTTCCCATCTGCTGGGCTGTGCTTTGCCACAGTTCGCTAGTGAACCTGACATCCCGGTCACTGACGACGGATTTTGGAAGACGAAAATCACGCACCCAGTTATCCATAAACAGCTTCATCACCTGGTCCATCTTAGCGGTCTCAGACATGGCAATAAATCTAGCATACTTACTAAATCTGTCCGCGATGACGAAGATGTGTCGTTTGCCGCTCTTGCTGGTCACAAGAGTGTCCATGAAGTCCATGGAGACGCTATGACCAGGGCCAGCAGGAATAGGCAC